GGTCGATTTCTCCTTGTCCTATTCCTGGTTTTTTTCTGTTGCTTGGCTGCTTGGCTCTCTGCTCCTTCACTGGTAGCACTTGCAGGATTTTCTTCTCCGTGATCGTTTTTTACATTCTCTGATTTTTTTTCTCCACTACTGTCGCTCGAGGCTCGTACATCTCTTTTTATATACTGGGGGTGGCTGGGTGGTAAGTCCCTCTCCCAGCGTCTTAGTTTCGGGAGGAGTGGAGCAAACGATGATGCGTTCATTGGCTAGTTTGTCTCTTCTATTTTCCTCGCTGGGTTTTCGGGGTCCTAATTGGAGCGGGGTCGTGGAGAAAATCGGGGGAGCGGACGCAAAGGTACAGGCCTTCGCTCGCGAGATGGCTCCTTGAGTACCGTTCTCAACCAAGATTTATCCAATAAGCGGGTTTACAATAACTTAAAAATTATTTTTTGTATAAACTCGATAACTTACAAGTTACTTAGTGCTAGGGACAATATTGTAGGTTTTTTTCGCAATTACAGTTGATTATAATTTGTATTGAAAATAAGTATTACAAATAATTATAAGTATATAATTTGTATTGAAAATAAGTAATAAATTATAATCTTATTATTTCGCACGCTGTATTGTACAGATTTATGGGTGGCTTATTAAATTATTCACTAATCATGCAATTCTATTTAAGTTTTAATCGGAGTATTAATACAAGAAAAAAAAACTTTATGTAACTTTATGTAACTTTATGTAACTTTATGTAACTTTATGTAACTTTATGTAACTTTATGTAACTTAACAAGGCGATTATTTCCTAATTTATTACAATAAAAATTTGTTTAACAACATAGTGCGCATATATAATTTTTTTGGATTTTCTCTGTTTTTTCTTATTTTCTAGCTAATAGTAATCCGTACTTCGGAGTGAGAAATCGATGAGAGGTTTGAAAAGTCATAATTATCTGGGATGTATTGTGATAGTTAAATAATTACGTTTGGATAATTTTAAATTTTATTTCAATGGTAAATTTTTGAGTATCTTAAAAGGAGGAAAAATCCGTTGGGAAAAGTAGCATACAGGATGCAGTCGCGGTTTTATGACTCTCTCCTCTCATCGACATGTTGACGCTTGTTAAACACGTGCAAGGGGCTATACGGTCTTTACATGCGTTAGAGAACGCTGGCTCGGATGCAGTCACTGTTTTATTGCTTTTCGAGGAAAATTCTTATCGGCCCCCCTCGCTTTTGAGCAGCTGTTCTCGTTCTGCGCTTGTTTTAGATGCTATACAAAAAAATATTCTTACAAAAGTTTAAAATTTTAAAATTGTCCACCGTCACAGAAGATTTAACTATAAACGAAAATAGAATTTACAGTGAAATTTGAGCAGAATTGTAATTGAACAGAATTGGAACCTAACTGAAATCTAATTACAACTTTCTAAAGCAACATTTCTACCTAACTAAATACTAAGCTTTGACATAATCCAAGCTTTAACTAATAAACCAAGCATTTTTTACTGTACTGACAAAAATCAAAGGAGCTTTACTGATATTTAACCAACAAACGAACTTTTACTTATATAAAATAAACTAAGCATTTACTTATTCCAAATCGAACATTCTATTTACAATATATTGTTATTTACAATATAATTATTTCTAATATAAATAATAATATAAATAATAATATAAAAAATAATTATAAACAATCAAATATTCATAGTATTTGTTTTATGTAATCAAAGAAAGTTTTTTTCGTTTCATTTGAAAAATGGGTAGAAGAAAAATAATACATACTCCAGAAAATGATCAATCTTATCAAATGCAAAAGCGTTTGAGAATTTCGGAAAATCAGAGAATTAGACGTCAAGCTGCACGTGATGAATCAAACAATGAACAACAAAATTCTGTACGTGATAATAATTCAACAAATAATGAACAACAAAATTCTGTAGTAGAAGATTACTTAGGAAAAATGGATACGTTATGCTCAAATTGCAAAGCTGAACATTTTATTTCTAAAAAAGTAGCAAATAAAGGTTTATCTTTCAATGATTGTTGCTCTCATGGGGCCGTGACTTTAGAGAGTACACCTAATTTTCCACAAGAACTTGAAACTTTACTTGATGGAACTCATTCCCAATCAAATAACTTCTTTGCAAATATTCGCTATTATAATAATTCGCTTTCATTCGCTTCTTTTAATGCTAACTTAGTTAATTTTCAATCACGTCGACCTGGACCATATTGTTTTAAAATTCATGGACAAATATATTATAAAATTCATACTGCTTTGTATCCTTCTGATAATGAAAGTCCTGCGTATGGGCAACTCTTTTCTCTTGACTAAGAACAATCTCTTAATATTAGAAGAACTCAAAATCCTCAACTTAATCAAACAACACTTGCAATGTCAGATGAAATAATAAGAGGAAATAATATTTTTGCGAAACCTTACGCAATGATATAACAAGAGATAAATGATCAACGGTTACAGATGAATGGGGAGTATAAACCTGAATTACAATTATTATTTTCCTTGAAACCAGGTTTTGATTAGAGAAGATTTAATTTACAGCGGACAAATGAAGTTGCTGTTATTTTTTCAACAACTGCTGACGGTGAAAGAGTCTTACGTAACTATTCGAAATAAACACACAAAAGAATTGCAATGCGTTAGTAGTATGGATCCAAACGTAGAACCTTGGATTTATCCATTGTTTTATCCTTATGGATCGCGAGGATGGTATAGTAATTTACAACGTATTAAGATGAATGATGATGATCCAAGTCGTAGAGTAACACGATTGGCTTATACTAAATTTAAAATTGCTGTAAGACGAAATGTATTTAACGCTATTTTGTTAGGTCGTCGATTATTTCAACAGTGGATAGTATATTCTTATGTTAAAATCGAAAAAAACAGAATTCAGTGGTGCAAAGATCATCAAAGAGAAATTAAAGCAGATACGTACCAGATTACATGATTATTTGCAAAATTCTGCTAACGATATTGAGGGTCAAGTAGGAAAAACTGTAATTTTACCGTCGTCTTTTATAGGATGCCCGCGCCACATGCAACAAAATTATCAAGATGCAATGGCTTTAGTCAGGAAAACTGGTGAACCAGACATTTTTTTTACAATGACTTGCAATCCTAAGTGGAAGGAGATTCAAGAAAATCTTTTATCAGGCCAACAGGCATGTGATAGACCTGATATTGTAGTTCGTGTATTTCATTTAAAAAAAATCGTTTACTTGATGTAGTCATAAAAAGCCATTTTTTCGGAGAAGTTGCATCTTATGTTTATGTTATTGAATTTCAAAAGCGTGGTCTACCACATATTCACTTATTAGTAACTTTAAAGCATGCTTATAAAATAACTACACCTGAAATTGTTAACAAATTTATATCAGCTGAACTTCCTGATAAATAACGGGATCCTATTTTATATTATTTTAAAAAAAATTGACTCATGGTCCTTGTGGTGACTGGTGTATGGTAAACAATAAATGTTCAAAAAAATTCCCGAAAAATTTTCACAATGATACAACTATAGACGAAAACGGCTATCCTCATTATCAAAGAAAAGATAATGGTGTTACTCATGAATTACTTAATGGTCATGTTATTAATAATCGATGGGTTGTACCACACTATCGACAATTGTTGAAAATATTTAACTGTCATTTAAATGTAGAAATTGTTTCAAGTGTACGAGCTATTAAATATTTGTATAAATATATTTATAAAGGACATGATGCAGCAACTATAACTATTGGCAATCATGAGAATACATCTAAAACTTATATCAATTATGATGAGATAACTGATTTTATAGAAACTCGATATGTCGGTCCGGTTGAAGCATGTTATCGAATTTTCAGCAAACCATTACAAGACAAAAGTCACTTTATAGAGCGATTACCAATTCATTTACCAAATCGACAGTGCGTAATAATTTCCAGTGATATAAATGATATTGTACAAAATTTAAATCACGCAAGTAGTAAGTTACTTGATTATTTTAAATTAAACATTGAAAATGAAAATGCACGTAAGTATTTATACAATGATATTCCATCGTTTTTTGCTTATAAAAAACAAAAAATCAACGGAATTATGGTATCGAAATGGACAACACGTAAAAAACATTTTAACTGTATTGGTCGAATGTTTTCTGTCAGTTACACAAGTAGAATTATTCCACTTAAGATTGCTATTGTTGCATGTAAGAGGAGCTACAAGCTTTGATGCGTTAAAAACTATTAATGGCATACTACAACCTACGTTTACAGCAGCTTGCTTAGAACTTGGACTGATAGAAAACGATCAAGAATGGGCCAAAGCAATGGAAGAAGTAACAATATGGATGATGCCACGCAGACTTCGACAATTATTTACTCGAATCCTAATACACTGTCAGCCAATACATGCGGAAGAATTATGGAATAAATTCAAAGATGCATTATCTGAAGATTTTTCACGGACATATACTGCTATAAGCTATCAAATGGCATATGCTGAGATAAATAATTTATTAATTTATGAAGGTAAAAGTTTTTCTGATTTTCCGTCCATGGATCAGACAGTAATTACTCATATATTATCAAAAAATGATAATGAATTATTACAAACGAAATTTGCAGAAATTGGCGAAAAACAGTATAAGCTATTGAATGAGCAACAAAAAGAAATTGTCGATGTTATTTTGGATAGAATTATTAATACTGATAATCACAAAAATAATTGTTTATATATTAATGGACCGGGGGGATCTGGAAAAACGTTTATTTATACAACTATTTACAACTTATTGTGCTCAAAAAATATTAAAGTATCTTCAATGGCTTCCACTGGGATTGCGGCAGTATTACTTCCTAAAGGAAAAACAGTACACAAAACATTTGGCCTTCCTGTTCCTATGTTTAACGATGCATCGTCAAATATTACAACTTAATCTAGAGAAGGTCTTTTACTTAAGGAAACGAACGTTTTTATTTGGGACGAAGCGCCCATGGCTCCAAGATATGCTTTAGAAATAGTAAACAGAACGCTGCAAAATATCATGAATAATTTACCTTTTGGTGGTAAAGTTATGGTTTTGGGCGGTGATTTTAGGCAACTTCTACCAATTAAAATTAATGGAACACGTACTGAAACGTTGAACCTCTCTATTAAATACAGCGAATTATGGCGACATTTCAAGACATACAATCTTACAACAAATATGAGAGTCTTACCCAATGAAATCGATTTCGCTAAGTTTTTATTCTTAGTTGGTGACGGAACTTTAAATGACCAGCAAGAAAATTTAATATTACCCAATCATTGCATTCATAACAAGAATGATGATATTGTTCGTAGTGTATTTCAAAAATTGATCACAGAAAAAAAAATTCGATTTAATGAGTTGTAACGGAGTAAAACCGTTTAATTATATTTTATTCGCGTAATTAAATCAAAGGGGCGAAAGTACTTATCGATGCTCAAAATGCAGTCCGGAGAGCATGCAAAGACAGGCGCCAGTCAACCAATAATTCTTAATAACCTATAATCAATTGAGTGGAAGCTGTAAGGTGTGAGCGAGTCGGAAAAACACTTGTTAGTAATGCGGACTAAACCTTTTATTATTCCTCAAATACTACACAAAGTCGGCCCGCGCGTTTGTTTACGATCGCGAGATTAAGCTGGCCAGCTTACCTTGTTATTGCAGGCATACGGAGAAAACGACAGTCACACACTGCGTGGAATTGATTTTGTATGTCTTTGCCGGTCGCGAAAGCGCGCACGCACGGTTTCGCCCTCGATGGCGAAACCACACACACTCTCCTTCAGCGACTCGTGCTCCTTCTCTCTGCGGGTGTGTGGCACCACGTCAGCTGCAGTTGCTATCCTGGCACTTCTCTGGACCACTGGCACGTGCTTTTGTAGACTTTCGATATCGGCGGCACGTAAATCGGCGTTAGCGAAACAAAGGCGAGCGAACGTAATGATGGCCAGTGCTTCACTAGTTCGGTTTCAATCGCGCGCGTTCCGTCTGCTCGCGTGCCGAATTCCTTCGTTACATATTTCGTCCCCCCGGTAGGTGCTGCCCTCAGATGCAGCAATTAAGTTAGATTATCAGCGCTAATTTGACGTTTACCGTCACAGAGTAAATGTGCTATTTTGTCCGCGCGAAATACGGATGTCGATGAATTAAATAAATTAGTTATTGATTTACTAGATATAACTACAGAACATATTTATACTAGCATTGATAGCACCGAGAATTGTGATAATGGTGAATTTGATGAAGTATTTTTACCGGAATATTTAAATTCATTAAATCCTGCTAGCTTACCACCTCATGAATTGCGATTAAGAAAAAATAGGTATTGTAATGTTAATTAGAAATATAACTATACATGAAGGTTTATGCAATGGTACACGTTTACCGGTATTAGATTTTTCTAATCATTTATTAAAATGCGAAGTCTTAACGGGCGATAAATCAAATAATATTGTATTTTTAAATCGTATTTCATTATTTTGTACAAATGAGTATCCATTTTCGTTCAAGAGACGCCAATTTCCAGTCAAAATAGCGTTTGCAATGACAATTAATAAAGCTCAAGGCCAAACATTTGATATTATTGGTATTGATCTTCGTAAAGATGTTTTCAATCATGGACAATTGTATGTAGCTATGTCTAGAGTGCGTTCACAGAGTACCCTCCAAATTTACCTTGGAAATCAGCAAAGGAGCTATTTCACAATAAAAAATTATGTTTTCAAAGAACTTTATTTATGAAAAAAAACTGATTTAATTGTCATTAAATATGTATATATTAGTCTTTATAATTAATGAATTTCTAACAAAAATATTCCAAATAATGTTAATTCCAATTGTAACTAAGTCTAAAGCGCGCGAAGCACGCGGTGAGACACTAGTTAATTAAACCAATAAATATTGAATCCAAAACATCTTGTTTTACGAAAAAATGCCCATCCACACTTGAGAAATCGACGCCGCAGGTCGACGACACGACCCAACGGCAGGCGACGTACGACGAGAACAGCTGATCAGAAAGAAAATTTAGGAGCGTATGCACACTACGTATTTGGACCCGACACCGCACGGTGATGGAAATCGGAAACAATTCGAGCCACGCGCCAATTTTAATTGAATCCTAAGAATTTATGTGTTATTCTTCTCTAAAATTGTTCTGTTTTATGTGACTGGTGAGATAAGTTCAATATGAACCCCTATAACCACCCTTATCAACCCCTAAGTAGGCTAACCCACCTGACCCAGGGTAGAGCGAGATTAATCAGCTGTTTCTTTTTACAAAAATCTCAATTATCTGAATGATAAATAGGCTAACCCACCGGTATCATGTGAGATTTTTGTAAAAAGAAACAGTTGATTGATCTCGCTCTAGCCTGGGTCAGGTGGGTTAACCTACTTAGGGGTTGATAAGGGTGGTTGTAGTGGTTGAAATTGAAATTATCTCACCAGTCACATAACACAGAACAATTTCAGATAAGAATAACACAAAAATTGTTAGGATTCAATTAAAATTGGCGCGTGGCTCGAATTGTTTCCGATTTCCAATACTGTGCGCCGCCGCAAACGACGAATGAAGATATCTTGTGACAGCGGGAATATCACGCACTGATAAATGAAAAACCGACGAGTTTCCCACCCTACGACCAATCATATACACTAACGGATTCGAAAAAGTCGTAGAAAATTAAATAATAGACGAGCGAATCGCGAGGCGACCGAGCAAACACATACATACGAAGAACAGGCCGGCACTAACGGAAAAATCAACGGAAAAAGCAAAGAAAAGTCACCGAGAAAACTTCGTGTTCCAACAAGTAGACTAGGCAATAGCTAGAGAGAGAGAGAGAGGGAGAGAGAGGGGGGGAGAACAGATAACTAAAGGCGCGCGTACATAATTGTTAATTTTTATGGAGATGTTGTCCCCATCCTTAAACCTGACATCCTATGCTAAATAAACTTATCATCAATGTCTTCAGAACAATCATCACAAACATCAGACTCAAAAAACATAAACTAATGATTGTATAAATAAATTTTAATCTATTTATCACATTCCAAAATAAAGATAGAATATTCACTGAACTATTCTCCTAATTGTCATGCACATATTTCATATAGGAATAACATTTCCTCATTGTATTAAAATATAAGGTTGATTATAAATAAACTTCGTGCAATAAAAAAATCATAATAATATACAGAACTTTTCACTTGTGAGATTTAAAAAAAATAATTTTTAATTGAAGGTTCACTTATAAATACAAAATCCCCTGTATCCTTAAATTTTATTGTTTACAAAAAAAAAATAAAGTAACTAAAGGTTCGATCAAGTGCTAATAGGGAAAATTGAAAATTAAAATTTTTTTAAATATTGGAGGAGATAAAACGTCAATTTATGACTGTTTGGGAATTTTTTAAATCTAACACTAATATGTACATTAAAAAAATATTTACTTTTGAACAATAGTATCGATAAATAGAAAATGTTTAACACAGAAATCAGCAAAACGCTAAAACTAAGACTTTTTCGTTTTCAAAATATGAGCAAACTTACGTTATTAAGTTATGTATTTTTGATTCTTTTCGTAATAATTTCCAAATCGATTATTAATCTTTCGTTTCTTTATTATAGTTTCTTCCTTTTTATTATTATTATTTATTTCTGCTTCTGATTTTATTATTTCTAGTTTTTTTCTTTTCTGCTTTACTAATATCTACTTTTCATTTTACTGTTGTTTGTTGTTTTACTGTAAGAAATAATTACTTCTTTAGATTTTTTTTTACTTCTGCATTTTATATGAATTCTGACTCATAAGTAATTAATAAAAAATATTTGCTGCGTGGGTCAGTCACTTTGCTCGAAGTTTCCGTTATCTACTACGTTCCATGGCTATTATAAAATATTAAAATTATTTAGATATTATTCAATAAAGGACTTAAAGAAATAACGTGCCTGAAGCACAATATCAATAAACCTGTTGAAGAGTTGTCAACACTAGCACTTTTATCACACAACTGACGTGACCAAGTAAAATCACGTCACGTGGTGTACGGAGTATAAATAAGTTTTATTTACACACTGTAACAGGGGAAAATAAGTCGTGCAGGTGGGGAAAACATTTGTATAATATCCCTCGATGCAGATATAACTGCTATTCTGTTAAACACGTATAATAGAGTATTCGTGATCTCGCTTTAAAATTGACACAAGCTCCAACCTCACATATCTTTCCCAGTTAAACTCACCTTAAGTCACCTAACTTGCGATACTTGTCTTCCGTGCTGTTACGGCGTAACTCATACTCGTGGCGCTAGTTCAATCTTGACGGTGAGTAGTTATGCACACGTTAGAAGGTGACATGTGGGGCTTCCGGCTATCTCGACGATAAGCGAAGCACATGCATGCAACCGCCATAAACAGGTAGTCTACTTCCTGCTTGAGATCCGGGAACAACTAAGTTTGGCCTTTCTAGTTTTATCTTAAAATCACGGTATCGCGAGTGACTACAAAGACGCAAATAAACGAATTGCGCACCCTATTTAACAAGTGAGTGTCAAAGCTAAGCCGTCGAAGGCATAATAACAAAATCATAAATTTGCCCCTGCCGATCGTTGAATAATTAAAAAGGTTCATTGTTCCGCCATTTTAAATTACACCACGTGCATACTAAACCAAAGGATTAATCGAATACTTTAAATAATTCCGGCCACGTAAATCATCTTAAACCTAAATAACATTAAACTAGCAAATTAATTCTATCCTTTGCTTGTATTTGTGCGATAAAGGGAGGTAACACAATACTAACACAGTCGTTGCGTAAATTACAGGCGAATTGAATTTACATTCTATATCGTGGCTCCTTCCAACTATTTTACATTCATTATGTGAGATAGTACAAGCTTCTCGATAGCGTATTTATCTTTTTTTCTTTCCTTTGTGCTCATTGCAAGTGTGGCCGGAAAATCTGCTCACTGCAGTACCGACACACTCTCTCCTTTTCACACGTAGGTTTGCATCCTGCAATACCAACCGTGTTCAAACAATTTTACTTTTCTTCTACTACTTCTTTTTATTAAGTAATAATTGCCGTCTGCGTCCGATGAATAAATTATTGTCTAGCGAGCGTCGTATATAATTGGTGCGTGCGTATGAACTAGCAATTACACTTCACTTCATTATTACTTCCTACACCTACGTCATTGTTCATTATCCATTCTTATTTCTTTTGATTATTTCACCAACTTTTTTTATTCAATAAAAAGGGTTTTTGTGCATACTAAGCTTTTCCCTTTACACAGGCGTTGTTTATTTCTTTCTTTTTCCTTAATTAATATACATATAAAGAAAGGGTATTTTTGTATATAGTTTCTTTTATTTTTACTACGCTTAAATTTCACTAGGCATGCCACCTAAGGCATGGTAGTTCTCTGACGATGATACACGTGCTGTGTATAGACGTTAATGTTTATCTGCTACAATCCCCTAGACCAAATCGTTCAAATATTTCCGGGAAACGAGCTTACTAAATGTGAAGGTGAATAGAGTATATAATGTGGCGAGTTAAAACGATAATCCTTTTAATATAATTAGCACTTGGTACACTGAAAGCGGGCCGAAAGTCTTTCGCGCGCGAATAGGTTTACAAACGATATCGGAGAGAGAGAGAGAGAGAGGAAGAAAACACAAAACTAAATCGGCGCGAACTAACTCTCGGTACGGCTCGATCGTATATTTCTCGGCGTTACCCTACCTATCACGCAATCTTAATTTAAAAATAGTGACGCGAATAAAGTAGGTGCACCTACCCTTTGTTGCGGTTACGGTGATCAACCGTAACCGTTAGTACAATACTAAAACCGGTGATTTCGATCACTCTGGGCGCCGCTGTTGTTGCAGACTCAGGCCTTTGATCCTACTAACACTGCTGTAGGTGTATCTGCTGACGCTGTCACTGATATTGCTGCTCAGTCACTGCTGATGCTTACTCTGGGCTATTGTCGTTGTCGACACTTGTCACCTCTTGTAGAACCCGGCACGAAATTTTTATGCGCACGGACAAGGCTTAACGTAAACTCGACACTCAAAAACTATCGACGTTTGCTTGACACCAGCTCAGACAATACTACTTCTAATACCGTGCGCGCCCCCTCTCTCTCCAATTAGTTAGCTCGTGCGCCTCGATCGCTACCGAATCACGAACGGTTCGATAACTTTAATCAATTATCGTTGCAACACACATTCCTTAAAAACTATTGAAAAGTAAGAGTATACAATGTTTATAAGCATTTTGCATAAAATATAAAATAATGTATTTTTTACATTTTATTTCCTTTGTAACTC